TTCCCAACCTTGAAATAAGCCTAGATTTTGTAAACCAGACACAAAGCGCTGTTGATAGAGGAAAATGTTGATAGTTTGCATTATATTGAAATTAAAACCTTTGTTCATTAAAATTCCATTAAATTAAGTGCCATCAAGTTGATTCCAGCACACAGCAACCCTGAGCAGGGTTTCCGAGGAGCAGCTCGTGGGTTTGAACCACCAACCTTGTTGTTCGAAGTCCAGAGCTCATCCTACAATGCCACACCATTCAGCAAGTGAAAATACAAGTCAGAGTTGGAAAATATAGAGCCCACAAAGACCCTGTATCCAGAAAATGTACATGCCAATAGCAAGAATATTCAAATGGCCAGTGGCTATCAAGATGCTACACAAGAGGCTCAGTAACCAGGAAATGTAAATCAAAGCTGTAGTGAGACATAACTAAAATAAAAGTTGTGAATGATATCAAGTATTGGCTAAGGTGTAGAATAACTGGAACTCTCAAACGCTGATGGTATGTGAAAACATTTTGGAAAACTGACACTTCATTTGAAGCTAAACACATTTTCTTTTATTCAGCAATTCTACCCCTAAAACTATCTCTACATATGTACCAAAAAGTAAATAAAAGAATACTCAGCTTACATGATTCCTAACAGCCCAAACTAGAAATGTCCCAAATGACTATTAATAGCAGAATAAATCAATAATAATAGTGTCATACAGCAAAATGGAGTCCTGGTATGGTGCTGTGGGATAGATACTGCGCTGGACTGCAAGGTCAGTTTAAACCATAAGGTCAGCGGTTCAAATTCATCAATCACTCCTCAGAACCACTATACAGGGTTACTGAGAATCGGAAGTGATTCTAAGTCACTTAACAACAGAAAAACACTATGCAGATTTTTTTTTTTTTTAAAGCAGAAATTTTAAAAGACACCAACAGTGTGGATGGCTCACATAAACAAAATGTTAATAAGAAGAAACTAGACTTAAAGAGAATGTGATGGCTTTGTACGATAAAACACTGGACTGCAAACTACAAGGTCAACCGTTCAAGTCCACTTTCTCCGAGGGAGAAAGATGGAGCTTTCTGCTCCTGCAAAGATTTACAGCCTCAGAAATCTTATACAGGGTTCCTATGAGTTGGAACCGACGTGACAGCACTTAAAAAACAAGACTTAAAGATATAGTCTATGTGGTTCCACTTAAATATTAAGTTTAAAAGCATGCAAAACCATGTGGCAACAATATATATCAGTAGCTACCCTGAGAGTAAAGGAAAATAACTGGGAAGAGGCCTCTGGATTATAGTAAAACAGATGAAATATTCATCAAGATCTACACTTACTATTTGTGCATTTTTTTGTAGGCACTTCAAAAAAGCACACTCTAAAAATTAAAGGCAAGTAAACAAAGATAACTGTCATATAAACCAAACCTACTGCCATGGAGTTCATTCTGACTCATCGCAATCTATATATAGGACAGAGAACTGTCCCACTGGGTTTTCAAGGATGTAAATCTTTAGGAAGCACACTGCCACCTCTTTCTTCCACAGAGTGGCTGGTGGGTTTGACTGCATCGATCTTTTTGGCTAGAAGCTGAGTGTTGTAACCACTACCACCAAAGCTCCTTACGGACTACTGGTGTGGCACTGTACAATAAGCACTGGACTGCTAACCACAAAGTCGATGCTTCAAATCCACCAGCTGCTCCTCGGAAACCCTATACAGGGTCACTATGAGTTGGAACCGATTGGATGGCACTTAACAACAACAACAACAACAACATTAAGTCTCCTTACAATAACGTAAAATAAGCTAAAAATGAAAATGCAGACATTTAGGACACTTCACACATACGTCACTGCAAATTATTAACTAGAATTTACAACTTATACAGAGATTCCATTATATGGCCTGCTGATACCTCAAAATGTGTTTGTAAACATCAGATATCAAAATAAGAAAGTATAATGAAAGCAAAAATAATGGAAATAAGTTTCCCCCCAAAGGAAATAGGAGAATATAATGACCTAAATAAATATCAAAGCAACAAAATTGGTCTAATGAAGAGCTTTTTGCACTGTAGCAAACACAGGGAGAGACCCAGACATGAAAATCTGGTAAACATAAACAAGGTCTCAGAGAAAGCAGGGCATGGTTTAATTGAAATGTGAGCCTTGCTCCATCTGATTTTGTTTAGTGTTTATCAGAATCAGTGTGTAAGTCAGGGCAAGAACACCAAGGCTTGTTGACAAACAGTGGTGCACACTGAGCTTAGCTTCAGAACTGCTGGATCAAACAAACTGTGGAAATTCAACATGCAAACAGAAGAGTAACTGTTCTCACTCTGGATGGAATGCAAGGCTGTGGGTCACGGGGCCTCTGGATTCTGGAGGCTACTCACCAGGCCTTCCCTATGCCCTATGAAGTACTCAGATCAATCTCTGACAGTGTGAAAATGCTGCTCGCCTCTGAACCACCTCTCTATGTTTAATCATGCCAAGGACACACAGGGGGAAGACCATCTTCCGAAACTTGAAAGGGTCATATGGGTGAAGGGTGTATATGGAAATAGTACCTAAAGAGAATGCTGTTGGGCATACTGCAAACAACTCCACTTGGACAGACAACCCAGCTATAGATCTGGATTTTCACTCTTTTGATACTATGGGTAAAAGAAATCTGGAAGATCAATGTTTCAGTGCTTGGATGCTAACAGAAAGGTTGGTGGTTCAAATCCACTCAGCAACTCCACAGGAGAAAGCTCTGCCAATCTGCTTCTATTCTATAAAGATTACAATTTAGGAAACACTATGTACTCTGTCTCATTATGACTATGGGTCAGAATCAATTCAATGGCATCCAACAATAATAATTCTTTGTGTTTATGAAACCTGGCTTGACCTAGGTCAAGTTCTCTTTTCTGTCCAACTTTTTTATTTGATGTCTTAAGCTCCATTATGGGTTCCCCAAAAAATATACTTCTTGGTAGCTCTTCTAAAGGTCCCTATTTTTAAAGGTATACTCCTTAGCCTGCCACAGCCCATGTTAACTGTTTACTTGGTCCCCTGGATAATCTGTTCTTCTTTGTACTATGCATTCTCTTTCAGTTGAATCCTAAATAGTTACTGATGGCTTAGAAAAGTCTACACAGTTCATTATAAGCATACACCAAGCACAATCTGCACATGTTTCATGAGTCAAACCCTGAAACAAATTACTTGTGGAAGACAGGGTTTTGGAGGAAGGGACTGTACTTCCTCCTATAAGCGTTATATGCAACTGAGGATAAAATATAATTGTTTTGGAATTGCTTTTTGTGAATGATGATGTCTTCAAACCTAAAGATTGGCTCTTTGATGTAAGCAACAGGATCATACAGTCTCATAATATCTCAGGGGTTGGGATAGCGCTCAACATATAGCAGATATCAGATGATTGGCTAATTGCCCAGTGGCTACAACTGCAAGCTCAAAAGAATGGGCTTCTGAAAGAACAAGCAGACTCACCAAAGGGAAATCCTTCTTTGATCTCTCAACTGATTTCTTTTAGTATTACTTTTATAGGGCCTTTGTTTCCAAGACAACACCTTCTAGGCAATAGATCATTAATCCACACACAGCCTTCTAAGGTAGATATTATATCTCAGCTTTATAGGTGAGGAAAATAAGGTTCAGAAAGTTGACTTTACTTGCCCACCAAATAACATGTAGCTAGTAGGAAGAAAAAACAGAGGTCTCACCCAATTGCTCTTCCTTCTACAACATACAGATAACTCCAATATCCTGTAACCTGCTTCTTCACTTATTCTCCTTTGACACATCTCCCCCTGCACTAGCGAACTCTCCTTTGTATTTCCTCTGCCAGAGCCAGTGCTGTGGTGTGGCTGGTGCCCACTGGCATCGTTGTCACTTCATATTGAGAAGGTGATCAAGGAAAACCTCTGAAGCCCATTTCTCAGTCCTCCCATCCAGTCTTCCCAGGGAAGTGGGGTGAGATGAGAGAGAACACTCTTATGCTGGCTCCAATACCAGTCCCGCCTGCCTTCACTGGACACATGCAAGCATACAGGCTCTCTCTGTTCATCCCAGAAAAAAGCTATCATAATGTTTTCATCAAACTAGCTACTCTTTCCAAAATCACTGCTACCCCAAGCCAGTTGCTCATGTATTACTTGAAGATTTTAATGGGGGAATTTTTTAAAGGAAAAAACTGGAATTGAAGTAAGACATTGATGTTCCATTGAAAAACTGGGGTTACAGTGGTAGCAAAAACAAACTACACTAAATTATTTTAAGGATTTTTAAATCTTAAATAACTCTCACAAAGTATTATCGTCTGAGTGTCTAGATGATATGAAAACAAGCTAGGCAAATAAAAAAAATGTTTTATATCTGTTGTATTGATTTGACTGTAAGTAACCCTGCCGTGTCAAAGGAGTGCGGAGAGATGGTTTGGAAGTAAGGGTTCACAACGGTTCAGTCATGGCAGATCGAAATAAGAGCAGTGTATGTACTGCACAACACCTAAATCTCTTGTGAGCTGGGCTTTGGCCCAAGTGGAAAGGTCCTGGTGTGGCGCTATAGGATAAGCACTGAACTGCTAACCACAAGGTTGGCAGTTCAAACTATCAGCCTCTTTTGAAAACCCTATATAGGGTTACTATGAGTTGAAACTGACCAGATGGCACACAATAACAACAGGGAACAAGTAGCGGTATCCTACTTAAAGATGGCAGCTAATGGACATACATACTCAAAGCAGGGCTTTGAGCTAAAAATTTGGTATGAAAATTAAAAATTAAACTCAAATGTCAAATCTACTAAACCAGAAACTTACATTTTCAAATAGGAAGTCATTTAAACAGAAACATCATGCACCGAGGCATCTTTATTAAGAGGGTTACGATTGCTTCTTAAGTGCATCTCTATGTACTTCATTCGTGGGGAGAAAGAAAGGTCATAGGAATTCACACTTACCAAGGTGCACACACACCCTCACACTACTTACCAAAGGTGACTTCTCCTTTGCCTGCTTTGTCAAACAACTGAAAAGCCACCATGAACAAAGCATCAGGGGCACACAGGACAGATTCAAATGCTACAAATTCTTGGAAGGATATTAATCTGCAACATAGAACAAGGACAGTGCAGAGAGTCAGTGGCTTGTAAAAATAAAATTAAAAAAAAAAAATACACCAAAAACAAAACAAAAACCCCTGACAAACTGTCATTGTTAAATAATAAAAGTCAAATCTGTAAATATAAACACTTAGAATTTCCTTTTACATGTAGTGGACTAAAATAACAATGCACAGAGTTTAAAGGATATGGCAGATTTAAGGGTACGGTGACACACTGAATGCATTATAATTTTTTATGTAACTGTTTCACCCAACATATCATTTATGTTTCAGACCTCAAGGCAGGTTGCTGGATTCTAGGATTAAAGCTTGGATGCGTTAGATACAGATGTGACTGTGTAACAGCAAAATAAAGCAGCTTTGTCATTCATCAATACTCCTGCACGCTATGTAAAAATAGTTCACAGATACTCATTCATTACTGATATCTACTGACCACATGTAAGCTGAATCAACGTCATTACAAAGAAAGAGCTGGAAAATACAGAAAAATCAGTCACGAAACATGATGTCCATGGAACTTATAGTCTGCTGAGGTAGATAAAACTAATTTAGAAATGGCAACGTACAGGAAATATGAATCACAAGGCAGGGACCAACACAATTATATAGAAGAGTTCTGGTATGAAATAAGAGAAATCTTGGTGACAATGGAATTTGAACTGCTCTTGAATACAAGTACAGGTATACCTCACAGATATTGTAGGTTCGGTTCCTGTCCACTGCACTACAGTGAATATTATAATAAAGGGAGTCGCATAACTTTATTTTGGTTTCTTAGTGATATGAAAGTTATGTCCGCACTATATTATAGTCCATTAAGTGAGTAAGAGCATTATAAAAAATCTGACATACTGTGACAAGTACCTAAAAGAGGAGTGCAAGAGAGGATGTACAGGCGGAAACACTAGAAGTGGGATCTGTTGTTGTTAAGTGCCATGGAGTTACAACTCATAGCAATCCTGCATATGGTTCCCAAGGAGTGACTGCTGGGCTTGAACTGCCAATCTTGCAGTTATCAACTCAGTGATTACCATAGAGTGCCACCCCAGGACTCCAGAAGCGTGATAACTGAGGCCTAAGTCAGATTGAGAAGTCCTGGTGTGGCACTATAGGATAAGCACTAGACTGCTAACTGCTAGGTTGGTGGATCAAACCCATTCAGGATTGCTGTGAGTCAGGACCTACTTGATGGCACTTTAACACCAACAGCAGCGACAAGCCAGATTGAAAGCACCAAAGGAAATAGAGTAAAGGCAGGAATGACAAAACTTTGGTAATGATGAGATGGGGATGACTGAGGGTAAGAAAGAGGACAGATGTCTCCAAGACTCCGAATGTGGACTACTGAGTGGAGTGATGATACAGCCACCAAAGATAAAGAAGAAAAAGGAAAGAAAAAAGTTGAAGAGACTTGTGCAAGAATGAAAGCAATTCTGATCCTGTTTAAGTTGAGGTTACAGTGGGACCCTCAAGTGATGGTGTCTAGCAGAAAGCCAAAAGGATCAATGGAGAACTCTGGAGAAAGGCAAGGATTGCAAACAAAGCCCTGGGAGTCTTTAAAGATGGCTTAAAGCTGTTGATAAAACCACCCAGCCACATTTCATTAAGGTAAGTTTCATTTTGTTTTTAAGAAATATTTTAATAAAGGAGAGACCTTTACCCTCACCTCACCATGCTCCCCACACAACTAAACAGGACAAAGGCTAGCTTTTCTCTTGTCCTCACTCCTTGCACCCTGATCTTCACCTCTGAGCAGGGGCAAACAACCATGCAGCCACCCTCTGCTCAGCAGTTGAGCTTGTTGGCAGTTTACTAAGGGAGCAAACACTCATATTTGTTAAATTACCCATTACAGACATTATACTCATTAAAGGAGAATCATACGGTACATTATCTAGAGAGGACTTTTTTTTAAATGTCTAAATAAAGAAAGGCTTAAAATGTAATAAGGAGAATATCTTTTGTCTCTCTAAACAGTATGAGAAACCTGACGACTACTATATCTCTGTATGAACAAATCCTTCCCTGGCGATGTCAAAGGGGTTTTTGTAACTATAACTGGCCAGTGAATACTCTGGTATTTTAGGCATGTTACTGATACCAAAAAGGTATGCAATTTGGTAATCCTGTTAGATGCAAGTACTACACATCTATGTAGGAGGTATATAGATGAACCATGAAATCATAATGTATTACTGTTCATCAAGATCATTTGGATTCTCAAGGTAATCTGACTAGAAGGCTATCTAGAATAATTACATAGTACTGCAGTCACTTACAGCACTGTATCTAAAAACATTTAGATATTATTTTAGTATAAACAGTACTTTATCTTGCTTTACAGATTTAATGAGCATTAGCATAGTTACAACAAAGAATACAAGTTTCATCAAGTTCAGAGCTGGCTCCTGAGCTCACTTAGTTCCTTTTCTACCTCCAACTTCTTCAAAAATGTTCAATGCCCTTCAAAAGAAAAATCACAGGATTTTCACTAACTCTGTGACTACTAACTAAAGAGGAGTATTTCATACTAACACTCACCTGCATCAACTAACATGAAAGCACATTGCGAAGTCACATTTTCATAGGTTTATGGAGTCCTGGTGTGGTGCTGTGGGTTAATGCACTGGACTGCAAGGTCAGTCTGAACCACAAGGTCAGCAGTTCAAGCTCACCAGCCATGCCTTGGAAACCTTATACAAGGTCGCTATGAGTTGGAACTGACTCAGCTGCACTCAACAACAATAATGGACCCCTAAGGAGTCTGGTAGCATAGTGGGTCATGAGTTGGGTTGTTAATCGCACGATCAACAATTTGAATCTACCAGCCATTCCTCAGGAGAAAGATGAAGCTTTCTGCTCCTGTAAAGATTAACAGCCTAGGGATCCTTACACAGTGTTGCTGTAAGTAGTAACCTACTCAATGGCACACCACCACCACCATGGACTCCTGGCATGATGCTGTAGTATAAACACTATAGGAAAAGGTCTGTAGTTCGAACCCACCAGCTGCTCCTCAGAAACCCTATGCATGGGAACTGATTCAATGGCATTTAACAACAACATATCATTCAGAGACAAGGGGAAAAGGATTGGTGGCTCAATGGAAGAATTCTCACCTGAGTTTGTCTCCCACTTAAACTTGCACAGCCACTACCAGTCTTCCAGTAGAGGTTTATGTGCTGCTAGGATGCTGAACCACTTTTAGAAGAGCTTCCAAACTAACACAGACTAGAAAGAGCTGGCAATTGACTTCTGAAAATCAGCCAATGAAAACCCTATGGATCATAACAGTATGAATCCAAACCAATCAAAGGATGGCACAAGAACAGGAAGCATCTCATTCTGTTGTACATGGGTTGCCAACTAGATAGACCGGCACAGTGGCAGCAGCAATGGGTTCAGGTGTAGCATGATTGTGAGGTGGGTGCATTCTATTGGGCATAGAGAGAGTTCCTATGAGTTGGTACCAACTTGATGGCACCTAACAACAGTAACAACAACTACAAGGCATCTGACTATTCTATTTCATAATTCTCATGCATCCAGATTTTTTAAGCAAGTCATTTTTTAAATCAAATCCCTAGAAAAACTGTTTTCATTCTGAAAGCTATCTTAAACACCAACAGCTTTACAGCTCTTTTTAAGTCCAGCAGAAACAATAAATATTATAAAATATCATGCCAAAGAATGAAAAACGCACAGGATGGGGGAACAGGTCTGTTGTATCTTACAGAGAGTCATGATAAGTTGGAATCGACTTCATTCACAGGACAGGGGCTGAGCTGACTGTATCTTCATTCTATGCAAAGCAATGTAAAGATCGTTTGTTTACTATGGCTGCCATAACAACTGCAAGGGGGCTTCACAAAGGCTGCAGGGAAATTGAACGAAAAGAAAACGGAAATTTCCCAAAAAGTTTTTAAAGTCTCTTTGTACTGAAATTGGAGCTTGAGTGACACAATTGTTAAGCATTGAGCTGAAAATTGCAAGGTCAATGGTTCAAACTCCACAGGAGAAACATGAATCTGTCTGCTCCCATAAAGATTTAGTCTTGGAAACCATGATTTAATTTGTCTTATATAGGGTCAATATAAGTCTTAACTGACCCCACTGTAATGGTTTAACAGGTTTTGGGGGGCAGTTCTACTCTGTCCTATGGGGTCATCAAGAGTTGAATTTGATCTGATAGCACATTTCAGTATAAAAGTTTATTGTCACAATTATGGCTGTTAGAGGTTCAAAGTTGACTGGCCTCAAGGAAGCTATGGTGATTCCTTCTGAGGGTCTAAAATATGTTTCATGCCTCTCTCCTAGCCTCTGGTGGTGTTAGTTGTTGTCTTGACAGCTCCCCAATCATGGGTCCCCATGGTTATCCTCCCTCATGATCAGTCACAGATCTGACTATTGTGATTCACAGGATTTTCATTGGCTGATTTTTAGTAGTAGATCGTCAGACCTTATTCCTAGTCCATCTTGGTCTGGAAGCTCCACTGAAACCTCTTCAGCAACACAGCAACACATAATTCCCACTGAACAGATAGGTGGTGGCTGTGTATGAGGAACACTAGCTAGGAATCAAACCCAGCCAATCATACTCCCAAATGAAAGGGCAGAATTGTACCACTGAATCACCAATCTCTCAAGCATCTGGTGTTAGGTAGCTGCAATTGAGACATTTCTGGCTCAAAGGGATCCCATGTGAAAGAACAGAATTGCCCCCTAAGGTTTTCTTAGCCATAATCTTTATGGAAGCAGATCACCAAGTTTTTCTCTTCCCATCTTCATAAGTTAGCAGGCTACTGTTTAAACATTTGTACCGGGTATTCCTTGGTTTATAGCTGCAGCATCATATAGCATCCTTCCTGTGTCAACTTGCCTCATGTATCATTTCTTTTATAAATTCTTTTGGTTTATAAAATTAAGATTCACCCTAACTGGTAATATCTTTAAAGACTCCAAAGAATGTCATGCTCACAA